TTTTAGTTATGTTCACAAATGAGTGATATTTTGCAGATGAATAATTTAAAATTTCTTTAACCCAAGAACATTTTTATCTGTCAGGTAAAATTAAAATTATGCTATGTAAGTCTTGGTAATTATAAAAGCTTTTTAACTTTCAATAAGAGAAGTATTTAACCTCCTTAATCCACGCCACCTACATGAAGGGTAACATGTTTAACAACTTTTTTTTTTATAACCAAAAATTTAAAGCCTATTTAAAATTTGATTCCCAGGAGGAGCTTCAACATCCATCTCTCGGAAAGCCGTATACGTCAGTAACTAGAACTGCTTACCTTCCAGCAACTGACGATGGCTATAGTGCATTGCGTCTTTTGAGAGTTGCATTTCACAGACGTTTGATTTTCACAATAGATGTCTCACATACAACACAAAGGGAAAGGATTGTTTGGAACATTCACCACAAAACAACGACGTAGGTAGCAGAAAATCAAATACATCCATATTCATATTGCTAAGGTTGAGCTATACTGTGATAGTTATGAGCACTTAGGGGCATTTATTAACACAAATAATTTCACAGTCGAAGAGACAATCCAGAATTTAATTAATATTTAAAAAAATAGTTTTTAAATATAAATGTGTGCATTGTAGTCAGAGTTGCTCTAAATTATTTACCTTCTATTTTTAGACTTGGCTACCCAGATCCAAATTATTTGATGAGATTGGTGTTAGAGTTAAGTCAAAATGGAGTAACAGAGGAGTCCATAACACGGGAGGAAATAAGATTAGTGGATGAATTCATGGCCAATCTTAGGAAGGATACGAGTAACAATGTTTAACTGATTTTTTGTTTACTAAAACATTTTGCAAGATTATCAAAGGCATTAAAAAGTTTATTTAGAAATTGTAAAGCTAGATGCTAAATGAATTTGGAAGTTAAAACAAATACTGTAGACCATATTATCATATACAAGTGATGTCATCAATGATTTTTGTTTAAGTTTAAAATCTGTATCAATGAAAAAAGAATGAAATACTAGATATTTAAATAATGATGGGTGGTTTTGTCGTACGAAGATCTTTTAAGGTTAGAACTAATCTTATTAATCTCTGCTATAGGCCTACTAATTAAATTACAATATAATCAATGAATAATCATTTGAAATATCGGTACTATACGATTTAAATAAATTTGAATTTAAAATATTCATAAATATTGCAGTTCTGAGTCTGATAGACTACTTTGCTGCAACCAAGTACTGGCTTATGTGCAACGGTTACTCAGTTTGCTCAGTTACTAAAATAATTTCTTAATTTTTAAAATGAAACAATAATCAATTTAACACTACTGGTACAATAAATATTTAAACAAATACCCTAGTACAACAATTTTTCAGCTTACTATTTTACTTTCTCAGAAAGTTTTATTAACACTCAGTGAACCCCATATACATACAATTTGTATGTCTGAATTCCTTTGTGGAGGACAAAGGAATAATCAGTGACAACTACTCCAGTGTTTCTCTTTAATATTTTTTAATATCATCTATGCATATTTTGCTTCTATTGTTTTTGTTTAGAAATATAATTCCAATGGAAAATGTACCAGTTGCCTGGTTGCATGTATCATAAGTAGAAGAATATTGATTTTACAAACAATTTATTTTTGATAGGCAAATTTGTATTCAATCTCCTCATCAGATATAGCTCAGTTGTAAGATTTTGCATAAAAAAATGAAATTATAAAACGTATAGTGTACAAATTTCATACATGAAAAATTAAGCCTAAACTTAATTGTTAAAGAAAATGAAACTTTCTTCTTTAACTCTTATTTAAACTTTTAGTCCTCATAGTAAATCATACAATTTTTCGATATATCAATGTAATCAATACAAAAAAAAGTTAAGACCATGAATTTGCAAGACATTGTTTGAAGAAACATTGTTAGTTGGTTTTCAACTTACGTGTCATATTTGAAACAGTGTACGAGAAAGCTGGCCTTTTGCAGTGTGAATCAGTGCCAGACAGATTAGAATTTCTAAAAATAGTTTGTCTCTAGCTTTTGTCTTTATGGTTTAGTTTTCAAGCCCTGGTTCAATGTGTACTGTACAAACTGTTCTTCGTTTACGAAGGAATTGTGTTCCTCGAGTTTGTTTGTTACATGTTTGTGTTCGTAATGAATCAAACAACCTAAATTTGCAATTTTTGCAGTGGGTTAACTGATAATTTGACATGTTTTATTTTAACAATACAATACAAAGTTAAATAAAGTGAAAAAAAAAGACTAAGTAAGATAAAATTGTAAATAAATAATTTTTAATCAACGACCTTATATTTTAATAAATCTTGAATTTCTGAAGTTTTGTTATACGGTGAATGTTAATAAATCAATGGTGTCCTTTGTAACGAATTGCAAGTTATCGTAATCAGTAATCATAATCTGTGATCAGTCCAATCTGAAATCTGAATTTTTTAATTTATTGCTTATTTATGTCTAAAAAATGTTTATTACACATTTAGTTGATCTGTTAAATATTGTTTTTCAAATTAATATATATAGCCATTAAAGGTCAATATTACTTTTTAGTAAATATCATATTTATTATTATTAGCTGTTACTTTTTTAAAAATTATTTCAAATAACATACATTCTTAAGAAAAAAAAATTGCAGATTAAAAAAAAAAGGTTTTGCAAAATTAATTTATTTCCTGTAATGTAAAACAAAACATTTTCTCATTGATTTTAAAGGGATTATTGAGTTGGTGGAATTTTTGTTTTTTCTCTATTTATTTGTAGCATTATATTAACGTGTAATCAATATGTAGCTTAGAGTTGGCAGGTTTTTTTTTTCTTTAAAAAGGGATTAAAGAAAGAAAAGGCTGAATATGTAGGGGGAATAATAAACATTGATCCTGTAATCAAGCCATTAAAAACATAAAAATCACAAAACAGAGTTACCTGTCGTTACAATTCCTTTTCACCATGTATAAAGTAAAAGATAATAAGTGAGCAGCTTTGCACCATTAAAAAATATATATATATTTGGAGAGAAGAAGAAATAAAATGTGGTTGCCAATGAGATCAATCTTTTGTGTTTGTATGGATAGATTTTATTTTCAATTTTATTCTTAGAGGAGTTATCGTTAAAATGGCACTCAATTTGCAGATCAAACAAACATTTGACTCACTGCAGATTTTTGTATTTGTACATTTATTTTAAAAAGAAATTTTGAGTGAGCTAAAAGTAAACAATTTGTTATAACAACACAACAACGTGTCGGCCTATTTTTATTTTTGTCATTGGAGAATTGGAGTGTGGCAAATTTAAAATGATGCTTTAAGTAAGACAACTGTTGTTAAATAGTGTTATATTGTGGACTAGCGAGTACCCGGCCAGCGTTGCACTACCACTCAAAGAAATTAAGTGTTTGTGTTTTTAGTTATGTTTTTTTTTTTGAAGTACTTTTTATGTACACAATAATTTGTTTTTTGTTTTTACCGTCTGGTCGTGTACTCGAATAAATTAGAAGGTTTTTTTTGAAGCATGAGCAGAACACACACAGCTGTCCATGGAACCACCTGAACGATGCCACTGTGAACTCGACATCGGTCGAAAGTTTCAAGGCTGCCCTGGCATCAGCTAGGAGCTTTTAGACTAGCAACATCATATCCCCAACCGTTTCACAAGGCGTCCTATGTCAAGTTCTATCAAGTGCCTGCTAACAAGGCGAAGAAATGAAAAAGGTTCACTTCGCTGTTCCACTGTGAGGAAGCTGCGGCAGACACTGTGGGAACCTTTGGGCTGAATTCGGGTATATGCCCATAATGCACACCATGCTGCAGTAAAACCAGTTTAGGAACATTTTGGTGAGATATTTGGCGAGGACTGAAGATCGCTTATTGACCCATGTGAAAATGTGGACACACTAAGTACAGTGCAATGTGTCTTATCGAATACTACATTGCAGCTATGTGTTTATTATTTTTATTATTTTTATTGTTTTTACTATTGTTTGTTCGCCGAAGAAGGCTTCATGCCGACACGATCATTGTTTTCTTGCGTCACTTTTTTTTTTTAGGTTTCTCATACTTTTTAAAATAAATACAAATTTTCTTTTTGAAGGCTGATATTACATATCAATAAATGGAGAATAAAGGCTTAACTATTGAAAAGGTTGTTACTAATTGAGACTTTTTCTGCACGAGAAGAAAAGTCACATCTTGCCCTAGACTAAAAGTCCATTTTATTATTCTTGAAAAATTGCCCCAGGAGGGAGCGGAGGGGGGGGGGGGCAAACCGCCCCTCCACCAACCCTTCCTAAGTTCTAAGCCACTGGCACCGCCGACCCGAATTCTGCACGAGAAGAAAAGTCACAACTTGCCCCAGACTAAAAGTCCATTACATTATTCATGAAAAATTGCCCCAGGAGGGAGCGGAGGGGGGGGGGGGCAAACCGCCCCTCCACCAACCCTTCCTAAGTTCTAAGCCACTGGCACCGCCGACCCGATCATCTGAGATCCCCCCTCCCCTGAAACAAATTATCTAAATGAATCTCTGGTGCTGAGGCGCAAAAATAAACCAAGTACGTAGAGACCCTGACCTGATATTTTCATTTTCAATTGTTTATTGTTCATGTGCTACACTGCCTACACAAGTGGTTCTCAACCTTTCTAATATCGCGACCCTTTAATATAGTTTCTCATGTCGTTTCGACCCTCAGCCACACAATTATTTTCGTTGGTACTTCATAGCTCTAATGAGGTGTGTTTTCATATGGTCTTAGGCGACCCTTGGGAAATGGTCGTGCGATCTCCAAAGTGGTCGTGACCCACAGGCTGAGAACTTCTGGTCTACACATTCTAAAAGTGTTTGTATTATAATATCGGATTTCCCCCAAATTTCTCAAACTAAAAATAAATGAAAACCCATTTCCGCTATTGCAATAAAATACATTGTTCTCTCAAGTGTTAAATTAAATAGCGGGGTCAAATATCCATGTTCAATAATGTTCATTAACAATAATTATGAAAAAAATAAAACTCTCTACAATCTATTTTAGGTAATATAATAGATTAATTAGGGCCAAATGAAATTAAATCAGTAAGTTTAAAATACTACACCCTGGTACGCCTTGCTTTTAATTAGTTAATTGTTAATATTTTTAAAAGTTAAAACTTAAATTCCAGGAAAAGTGAGCGAAAAATGGAACATTTTGACCTGGGAAGTGTTTCACTTTCAGTTTGATAACAACAGCATGAGAACGGTTTGTCTCAACTAAAATGTGAAACGAATTATATTAATCTACATCTAAAAATCGTGTTATTCCATCAGTTAACGATGTCTGGAAATATGCTTGTAAGTATTTTCTGTCCGTACTTCTTAGCAGTGACAGATTATTAGTTAGTTTTATATAAAAACTCTCTTAGATTAGATCATAAATTAAATGATCTGTACTGTTTAAAATTAAAAAAAACAACTCAACAAAACAACCTCAAACTTTGTCTTACTGCCTATAGACTATAGAACTATAATTGGTATTAATACATTTTTATTACATTTTTGCCAAAACAATCAGAAACAAATTCAAGTTCAAGCTAAAATTATTGATTTTTGGCAAATCTTAATTATTCTTAATCATCTTGTCGGCAGTGACACCCAAAAACCTTTGATATGAATAATCAGAAAGAAATGAAGTAGGAAGGAAGTGGAAAATATTATTAATATTTGAAAATTTGGTATATTGGACAAGACTAAGACTAATTCTGTCACTAAATCTAAGTAAATGTATCCCTAAACCTAACCTGAACCCTAATTCATGGCAACTCCAATAAACACGCAAAAGACGTCGTGGCATCCTATCTTCCTTTTAGCCGAAAATTTTAATTGAATTCTTAACGGAAACTACAAAGACTGGGGCTAATTTTAAGGACGGCTGCCACGGCGTCTTTTAAGTGTTTGTTATAGTTGCAGTGAATTAGGGTTTAGGTTAGATTGAGGGATCGATTTAGGGTTCAGGTTAGGCATAGGGATCGATTTAGGGTTCATATTAGGCTTAGGCATAGGGATCGATTTAGGGATACATTCGTGAAATTCGATAAAATAGTGGCAGTCGCCCTTAACATTTACCAAGACTGGGACAAAATAAAATAGTAATCGTTTTATTATTTTTTTGGTCACTGATGAGAGAAAGTGGAACGTAACACTGTCATCAATAATGCATTTAATTTTTCAGAAAATCTGCCAGGAGAGATTCAATGGTAATAAGGGAGAGAGGCTGCAATCAGATTAGCAAAAATGGACATGTGTAAAACAAAGCATATTTCATTATAAGAGCAATGGACACATGTTAAAATTAAAGGAAGATATATAGTCATTAATACAGATTTTAAGGAGCCGATGGAAATTGGAAATAAAAAAAAAACAAAAATCTCAAGTTATTGTAAAATATAGAGATATGGATGCGAAGAGAAAACAACAACATTAACTTGGCAAAACTCTTTCAGAAAAATCCTTTAACCAACCAAGCCCTGGTTAACATGGAAGAACTTGACTTGATGGAAAGTGCAGCAAAGGAAATTGATCCAGATGATGATGATGATGTGGAAGTTTTTAGGATGAAAAAACAACACTTTCAAGCAGCAACGAAATATTTGGTTCGTTTAAATTTGGCTAAATATTCAGTAGAAAAAGGAGATGAATTTGAAATAACTTTGAATAAAAATACTCAAGACTCTATAATCTCTCAGATAAAGGAATTCACATCACAAGAAATTCCAGTCAGCAATTATGAAAGGTCACTTTCAGCCATGAACGAATTGTCAGAAAATTACTTAAATGTTCATTTTATTATTTCTCGAAGTACAGTATTGCTATATGGCCTGAAGAGAGAAGTGTCCTCAGCGAAACTAGATTTGCTTGCTCAACTAGGGAACCCGGATGAAAATAATATGGGGATGACTGATTGCAAAGAAACAAACTTTGAAGGAAAAGCCGCAAGTGATCAAAATTCACAAGAAATAGAGTCCAACGTAAAACAAACCCAAAGCTACACACCCAATGACAAACTTGTCAATAGTGACGACGGCAGAGTCGGCACCTCTATAGAAAGCATATCCGTAGAGAACACCTCTGTAGAGAGCAGCTCTGTAGAAAGCACCTCTGTAGAGAGCAGCTCTGTAGAAAGCACCTCTGTAGAGAGCAGCTCTATAGAAAGCACCTCCGTAGAGAGCACCTCTTTAGAAGGTACCTCGGTAAAAAGCATCTCTGTAGAAAGCACCAGTATAGAAAGCAGCTCTGTAGAAAGTACCTCTATAGAGAGCGCCCCCATCCTTCGCTGTGAGAAAGAAACGTGTAACACAAGCCCACCAGGACATTCGCATGTATTGAAGCACAGGAGAGCTCAGTTTTACGTAGGGCCTAAAACTAATCTAAAAATTTATGTGAGAAAAGAAAACATCACAAAGCTTGATGTAGATATTATTGTGACTGCCTCAAATCAACAGCTGAGACATGCTGGTGGCGTGGCAAAGGCAGTGGCTGTAGCTGCTGGCCAGTCTTTGGTAAATGAATGTAATTCTCACATTACTGCCCATGGACCCCTCGATATCACCGATGTATTTGTGTCGACTGGTGGACGTTTAAGAGCAACCTATGTGATACATGCTGCTGGGCCTAAGTGGGAGGCTTACGAAGATAAACGCAAATGTTTAACAGATTTGCGTAGAACTGTTATCAGGTGTCTGGTCGAAGCATCAAGGCTACAGAAAGTATCCATAGCCTTGCCATCTATCAGTGCTGGTAAGCATTTTTATTATTGTTAGTAGTGAAGACGAAAGCAATGTCAAAATGGTTTAAATAAACATAATTTCATAAGAAGAAAATATATTTAGGAAGCATGTAAATTTCAAATAATTTTTAAAAATATATTTTTTGAAGTCATCAAATACCTTTAATCAATTAATAATTCCTTTAAAAAAATTGTGTTGATGTTCAATGAAAAAAAAACAATGGAGACTTAATATCCCAAATAATTATAATGAGTTTTTTAGGTAAAAAGATAGTTTATTTTTTTGTCCTGAGAGAAATAAAATTTTTAATAATGAGATCAAGATCTTAGTTTAATATCATAATTTAGATCACAAATTTAATGCTATACAGTACTAAACTATACATAAATAATATAATTACGTTGCTTCATTTCATTATATAAAAAGACATAATTGGTGTTACTTTCAAGCATCTTTCGGGGTGGGGCTGTGCGCCTTAGAGCAAGTCAAATTTCACCACGCAGAGAAAAATGTATACAGCAATACAGAGAAAAAATTATTTAAAAAAATAAAAAATAAAATGTCATTAAAAAACATTTTAAGAAACTGTAAAAGTAGTAGGCCTAAAGTGTATGTAGTAAAACAAATTAAGTAATGAAATATAAGAAGCTATGAAATATCGCTACGCTCCATAGATTTTAGGCCCAGAAGGCTCAAGGCAAATCTAGATACGCTATTTCTTTCTAAATAACATTGGTCTGAATATGGGCCAATCCAGCGCATAATCTGCAAATTTTCTCCATTGTTCACATCTAGGCATATCTTTCGGTATTTTTGTCCCCAACATCCATAGTTCAAAGACACGCATTGTGGGAAAAAGTACGCCCTATACTCGGTACATTACGGGATGAAACTAACTAAAAGGAATTTATTTGTAATATTTTGATGTAAATTCTAGCTAAGTATCAAACATTAGCAATCTCTATTCATTTTCTATCTCTTGTTAAAGTGAATTTATATTTTTATATTGGTTTTGTAAATTAATATTTTGATTTTCTAATCAGTTCTATTTAATACCTTTTATACTAGTTTTAGAACAAAAATTCCCCCCATTTAAATCTTAGAATTTGAAAGAAAAAACTTGTTTTAAAGAAGACCGAGGAGTTTTACAACAGACGTCATTTGTTGATACATTTGTAATTAATCCAACGATTTCTGGCCGCCATCGCCCCACACATGATCAAAGTGACCTTTAGGGGGTTGGGGCGAAAGTAAGCTGGGGCCAAAATCATACTAGGGCGCGTCACAAACTGGAGTGACCTCGAGTTATATATAGACATGGGGTTCATTAAAGACTAGCTATTTAGAAGCAGCTCTGAGCCCCTTCCCAGACACCTCCTCACACTTTCGCTCGGGAGCCATCTGTTCCCTTGAATGTTGCCCCCCCCCCTTCCCAAAATCACTGCGTTGTCAGTACGTACAACCTTTTTTTTCTGACAATGATATTATTTTCCTTCAATGTTATAGATTGCAGGAGAGAAAATAAAGTGGGACAAAAAGTAACGATTATGTTGATTGAAAGGGTCAAAGCTAGAGCTGACCCCGGTCATCATTATACGTAATGTTTGCGCTAATAGATTCATTTCCCAGGTGATGGAGTAAAATGACCCCCCCCCCCCTTTTTGTTTTAGTCACAGGAACAATTTGAAAAAAAAATCCCACTGGACATAACTGTTCAGGGGTCCCCATAAATGACGACCGCAAGTGGTTGGGTCTTGGGTGGGGGTGCATCTTTCAATAGCGGACAAATGCTTAAAGGGAGCAAGGGGTCTTGCGGACGTCCGCAATTTAGCTTTCGTTATTCGCTGCTTTAGTCCCACTGTGTGTATTCCTATATGGCTGATCTATTTTTAGGCTCATTCATGGGCGCCCCCCCCCTCGATTGATTGGATAACAAATTTTTAGACAAAAATAGACCAAAAAAATATTAAAGTAAAGAGAAAATAAAGAGAAAGTAACTAAGCTGATGTCCTGTCCGTTCGTTCACCATACAAATACGCTACAGTAAATTAAAACTATATTAAAACATGACTAACATTTTTTTGCCCCCCCCCCTTGGAAAGTTAATCAATTTTTTTGCCCCCCCCCCTAGAAAGTTTTCTGCGGGCGCCCATGGGCTCATTGTATGTATTCCTATTTGGTTTATCTATTTTTAGGCCCAGTGTATGTATTCCTGTATGGGTGATCTAATGTTAGGCCCACTGCGCGTATTTCTATATGGCTTATCTATTGTTTAGACTCGCTGTATGTATTTCTATATGGCTTATTTATTTTTAGACCCACTGTATGTATTCTTATATGGCTGATCTATATTTTAGGCCCACAGCGCGTACTCCTCTTTGGCAAAACATGGCAGTGATTTTATTTTTAGACTTCATAAAATAAATAACATGGATTTAATAGATTTTCCAATAAAAGTTGGCTGCATTAGAAATATTACAGAGGTTCAGAATTTTAGGATAATTATTAAATGTACGCAGTTTGTGAAGACCCTTTCGACCCTGGGCATTAGTATGTATACTCTTCAAAATACCCCCCCTCCCCCCCTCCAGTGCCCTATGTAATCAATGGATGGCCCCTTATCAAACTGTTTTACAAGTTTAATTCTAGTGACTTTTTCCTCTTTATTATCATTATTTGATTCGGACATTTTGCACCGTAAATTTTCGAATGCTACGGCGGGCCTCCGAAACCCCGGAAAAAGGGGGGGGGGGGAACATACGGTCAAAAGGGGAGGGGAAAAAATGCGCATTTTTTTGCAGACATCCTTTTTGGATAACCCCTAGTTAAAGTTGTTGTTTTAATTTCATTTGTAGGAATTATCTCATTCTATATGGCTTATCTATTGTTTAGACTCGCTGTATGTATTTCTATATGGCTTATCTATTGTTTAGGCTCGCTGTATGTATTTCTATATGGCTTATCTATTGTTTAGACTCGTTGTATGTATTTCTATATGGCTTATCTATTGTTTAGACTCGCTGTATGTATTTCTATATGGCTTATCTATTGTTTAGACTCGCTGTATGTATTTCTATATGGCTTATCTATTGTTTAGACTCGCTGTATGTATTTCTATATGGCTTATCTATTGTTTAGACTCGCTGTATGTATTTCTATATGGCTTATCTATTGTTTAGACTCGCTGTATGTATTTCTATATGGCTTATCTATTGTTTAGACTCGTTGTATGTATTTCTATATGGCTTATCTATTGTTTAGACTCGCTGTATGTATATCTATATGGCTTATCTATTGTTTAGACTCGCTGTATGTATTTCTATATGGCTTATCTATTGTTTAGACTCGCTGTATGTATTTCTATATGGCTTATCTATTGTTTAGACTCGCTGTATGTATTTCTATATGGCTTATCTATTGTTTAGACTCGCTGTATGTATTTCTATATGGCTTATCTATTGTTTAGGCTCGCTGTATCTATTTCTATATGGCTTATCTATTGTTTAGGCTCGCTGTATCTATTTCTATATGGCTTATCTATTGTTTAGACTCGCTGTATGTATTTCTATATGGCTTATCTATTGTTTAGACTCGCTGTATGTATTTCTATATGGCTTATCTATTGTTTAGACTCGCTGTATGTATTTCTATATGGCTTATCTATTGTTTAGACTCGCTGTATGTATTTCTATATGGCTTATCTATTGTTTAGACTCGCTGTATGTATTTCTATATGGCTTATCTATTGTTTAGACTCGCTGTATGTATTTCTATATGGCTTATCTATTGTTTAGACTCGCTGTATGTATTTCTATATGGCTTATTTATTTTTTAAATGAAAGTATTAAATATTTTTACAAACTTCTTGATAACTTGTGTTATATCCTCCACAGCTCTGCTTAAAGTACCCGAAGAATTATGCGCTCAATGCTACGTGGAAGCTGTCAAGAGTTTTGATGACTTTGCTGATAAGTTGGGCGTCGTCTCTGTCAAGGACGTCCGATTTGTTGATGTTGATGACGTTATGGTGAATATCATTGAAGAGAAGTTTACAAGCGAATGGCCCAAACCAGTTGATGGGAAGATTGCTAAAGGGGATTTCGAATTTGCACTGCAGCACCTCTCCAAAAAAGGTGATGACATATTTGGTAGATCTGTTATTAAAGACAAAGATCAACGCCAGTCATACAAAGGGATGAGATTACTTGATGATGAAAGCACAGGAAAGTTACATCAAGAAGATGTATCAACTACAATAAGCTATCAAGTCAATTCAATACAGATTAGTATTGTTACAAAACCAGCCACTGTTTATAGATCAACAATTGTGGTGGTTGGAGAATTATTTGATGAATTAAGTGGGCTACATGAATTCAATGTTAAAGATTTAGCTAAACCTATTCATGATTTACCAATACAAAAGGGAGAGTTTCAATATCTATCACTTTCAAAACCTGATGGAAGTCGGTCAACCTTGATATGTCAATTGCACCCAAACCCGGACAGCCCAGGTAATGTTACCAAAGCTTTTGGCAACTTGGATAATGCCAAAGAAATCCACAAGTCAAACTCGGTGGTCTTCACAAGTGCAATCTTTTACGCCAGTAAGTGAATTTTATTATTTAGTTTTGAATCAAATATTTCTAGTGAAAGAACAGATTGCCAAAAACCATGCAGGGATCAAATGTTTGGAGTTGAAGATATCCCCTTTCTACAGCAACTACTAACAGTTCATGAAAGTATAATCAAGATAGATCATGAGTAGAGTCGTTTAATAAAATGTCAAATAATGATGCTGGCTGCCACAGCAATGAAATGGTCATTAAATAAATTATGTTTCAATGGTTTGATTTTTCCCTACACAATTTGTGCCACTATTTTCTCAAATTTTTGTTTTTAGATGTTCACTAAAAGTGAAGACATTTTTTTTAGCATAGGTGGTTCTCGATTGATAAACGAGTTCTGTTCCTATAGGTAGTTGTATTTATAATTTTTTTTAATGCCTCAAAGCATCTAATTATTAAAATTTTTGTATGTATGATGCAATCTTATAAGTTAGCTGTTATTTTTTACAATCGAAAGGCATTGTATTAAATAATGAAATATACATTTTTTATTTTAACGATTTATTACAACAATAAAATAAAGTTTTCAAAATGCTAAATAAAGTAAGATTGTTAACTTTAATTAAGAAAATAAACAAAATTATATAAATTGTGACGTTTGTTATTCTAACTCTAGTGACTGTTGGTAAACTTGAGAATTAACTGTTCTTTTATTTTTGGTTTATCATTGAACACATTGATGTTTATTTTTACATCCATTTTCAGAATCCACGAAAACAAGAGATCACAGTAAAATTATTTCAAGAATAACACAGATGGTATTCAATTTTGCTGCAGGAACCTCTAGGAATAATTCAGTTATAACATCAATTTTAATTGCCACTGGTGCAGATTGCATTCCACATGTCATCAAAATATTGGACTCAAGGAATGCAGAAAAGATTTTTCCAGGGAATGCATTAAAAGGTTTGTTTAATTTAATTTTATTGCAGACCAAGATATTTGACTAGGGGAGAGTGGAAATTGTACTTTTTACACTTAGTTCGTACAGGAAAAAGTAAAACTTCCACTCTCCCCTCCCTGTTGCACGCGTACACTTTTTTAGACACCCCCCTACGCGGGCTTTCGACTAAACCAATGGTCAGCAAACTTATTAGTCAAAAGAGTAAAAAATCAACAGCAGGACAATTAAATTTTTATTTGGAGCTAAGTTTCTTTTCAAGAACTTGTCAAGAACCATGTTTTTCGGAGTCAAAACCGATTTGTGGGCAATTGGCCGAGCCGCACTCAGGTCGATAAAGAGCCGCATGCAACTCGCGAGCCACGATTTGCCGACCCCTGGACTAAACCAAACCAAAACACACCATTATGACCTCATAGTAAAAAATATGTCATGGGTTTTCATAGCTGTTTGGCGATCTCAGTGGTTCCCAAAATATGTGCCTCGTCACCCTGGGATGCCGCATCTCTCTTGGGTAGGGCCATGCGAAAGGGGCAATCCTTTATTTAATAAAAAATTAATTAGTATCTCGAAGAAGTGTATTTTATTCGAATTTTATATAGTGCACCCCATAAAAACCTAAATTTGGCAAGGCGACGAAAATTAAAAATAAATGTTGGAACCACTGGAGTGGACGAAAAAACAACTAATTACGTCACGCTCGTGAAACATACAAGAAGGGCCGTCACATAAATCATGACACGCAGAATTTTAAGAAATAAACAAGAAATTAACATTTGTTACTTTAGAGGTGATGGACTTTAGCAATTAACTTGGCCATGAGATAAAGTACTTGAAGTCGTTCTCTCTTTCTTGCGGCCCTTTAATTTGCAACACGTATAATTTTTAGAATCGGATCCCAATAATATAACGACTCTATGACTCCTAGAAACTTTCCATGGTCATTTTCACCGATGCCCTGGTAACCGCCAAGCAAAACAAGCCCCGGTTTACTAATGAATGATACAACATCAAATATTCGTTTCATAATGTTGTACCACTCAACATATTCTGTTTCCACTGATGCCCCCCTGATCACAGGCGTCTTTCTAGTTCTCGCAAAGCCAGATAACACTGCCTAAGACATTTGCTTCTCTCATGTCCTGGGATGCAAATACATAATTGTCGCCATTGTTTCAGCTGCTGGCCATCCTTCAGTTGATGCAAGCATTGCCTCAGATCAGTGGTTCTCAACCTTTTTAGTGCCACGACCCTTTAACAGTTTCTCGGGTCGTGGCGACCCCATTATTTTCGTTGCTACGTCATAGGTGTAAGGAAATTTGTTTTCAGATGGTCTAAGGCGACCTTTGGAAAAGGGTCCCGCGACCCCCAAAGGGGTCGCGACCCACAGGTTGAGAGCCGCGGCCTTAGATGTTGAGCTAACGCTGCAGCAAATCTTGTCCCAAATTAATGGACAAAGAAAACAAAATAATGCTTGTATTACTTCACTCCAGACAAATCTATGTCGGTCATGGTTTTCAACATTAAAAATTCAAAATGTTAGTACACGTTCGGAAAAAAAACTATTGTTACCTACCGTTAGGGTTTTAAAGATTTAATATGTGTTAATATTTGGCCTGTAGAAGAAATAAAACGTAATAAAAGACCGAGAAAAAAACAGTTTGGAAAGAAAACAACACCAAAGCCAGTGGTTGAGAACTAGATTTGGGGGTGTGATTGTTTGATATGGAAAGTTGTAGGTCGTGAGGTCAGTTGGTTCCTGGTGTTGAGTTAGTGTATGCTGATTGTTTGCAGTGTAAGTTTATAAAAGGCGGTGTGATAAGTAATTTTTGAAAACAGCGGTGGGTAAGGTGATCGTGCAAGTACTAATTGTATGATTGTCTGAATAGAGGACGTTTTCATTGAACCTGTCGTTATCGCTTGTAAATAAAGACCTAAGAATTTTCAAAATGAAATCTGTGAATTGTATTCTTCCAGGATAGTATTGTAACGCCTAGACAACTGCTGCCCTATTATAAGACGTTTCAATTGTGGGAGTTCTTAATGTGAAATGAGTCTTAACGTTACGCATACCGTAACTTTTGGTTTTAACATTAGTAATTTCTTAATATATGTAAAGACCTAACCAAAGAAGATCGTAACACTAGTGATACTGACAATATTTAATTGAATTATAAAAAATAATTTCTATACTAATACTAATCTGTGTACTGAAGCAAAAAAATTTATCAACCTACAGCAAGTGGAAAAAGTTAAAATCCTCGAAATACAAATATTAAATTATACACACTATAATATAACGTCTTGTATCTCTATATAATTCTCGCTATGTCTATCTAAGTTTCGATAAGTCTGGAGGGCTATCGATAGGAATTAAATCCGAACGTTCTAGTAAAGAAAATCCACAAATTGCGTCACCTAATGTTATCGTGAGAACAAATGGAACACAACGTTTTCCACAGCCAAGAAAGGGGCGGGCTGAGAAGGTCATTACTAGTAAACACGCTGTGGAGGCTAAAATAGCTCTATGTCAGTTGAAGTTTAAAAATAAGCCAAGCCCTATGGCACACTAGACTATAATACATAACAGGTGGCTAACTATATCTTTGGGATATGTTTTAGGAAAGCCAGTATGACATTTAATAACAATACAGTTAATTTTAAACAAGGCTACGAGACGGTTTTGCCATACTCAAAAAGTATAAAGGATGAAGTAGGTATCCATGGCCCCCTTTTTGAGCTGCATAGGCCCAGGGGCAATATACAGGCTGTGTCACCCTCTCATCAGGCCTGATAGTTTTCACGCATCACAACTTTCTGCTTGCAATCATTCTTAGTACAGGGAGTGCACCATGTTACTATGAGAACGAAACGATCTCATGTTGGACAGATAACGTATCGAAATTATGCTTGATAATGTATTACACAAATATTAAAACACTGATTCTTTTGTTGAGACGCGTTCGTTTACTGTTTAAAAAAATATTTTTTTGTTCGTATCGAGTAGCGCCGTTGTGTCAGTCTCAAAAAGCTATCGTTCAAATGTGTTCGGTCCACCAGCACAAATAGATAATGGTGCTTACTACCGCAGATGTTACTTCCATTGTATTTATATAACACTTCACACAGTTTTCAAATACATTTTAAAATCTTTTATTATTACTTATAGCCCGTAAACATTTTTTTTACACATTTGTAACCAAGCAACTAAAAGTTTATATTATTTTCTTTATCACGGATCAGAAGCTGGTAATGAAGGAGCATCATGTGGTTATCCAGCAAAATCAGGGGACTTTCCACCACCAATAGGGAGCTTTTCGGCAAGATCAAGGGACTTTCCACCACCAATGGGGAGCCTTTCGACAAGATCAAGTTTCTTTCCAGCAGCAAAAGGGAGCTTTACGGCAATGTCAAGGGACTTTCCACCACCAATGGGGATCTTTTCTGCAAGATCAAGGTTCTTTCCAGCAGCAAAACGGAACTTTTCGGCAAGATCAAGAAACTTTCGAGTAAAAGCAGGGGGCTTTCCAGATACCTTAAGTGGTTATCTAGCAACGCCAAGGGTTGTTAAAGGTAAAGTAAACGTCAATAAAGTGACACCAGGGCAGATTTTAATGCTTAGTAAAAATTAAAAATGTTGACATCTTTTATGTTTTTCTTTCTGCATACACATGTTAAAATATAAAACCCACTCTATATCCCATCTTATTAAAAGGGATGAAATAAAATGAAATTAAAGCCAAAATTAAAAAAAAAAGTCAAGTCGTACTAAAACGTAATAAATGTGTAACGCGTTTTTTTTTGTTTTTTTTTTTTGCATTGCAGATCTGGGCTCTCCAGTAAACTCACAGGACCGCTGCTCTGTGTGTTTTGAAAGTATAAACATTGAATCACTGAAATGCTGCCAGGCATTGTTATGTTCTACTTGTTTGGGCAAAGTTTCCATCTGCCCCTTGTGTAGATGTCCCTTCGCTATTTTAACAGGCATGCAACCCAAGGGAGAAATGAACTGTTTTTATTCATCTCAAGACGTCGAAGGCTATGAGAGAAAAGGCAGTTTGGAGATTTGCTATATCATTCCTGCTGGAATCCAAACAGTGAGCTTTTTGTCATAAATGTGTGTTCTTTTTGTTGGGGGATATCAATATTTACTAATGCAAAAAATGTTACATTTTTAAACCTCATTCCTCTGTTAAACCACTCATGCTTATATAAGAATTATATTTTAACCCCCACAACCAGCTGTTTCAATTTATTTATAGACATTTGTGACGCACTTGCAATTAATTCAAGTCAACGTCATTATTTTCTCTGGCGTCTGTCTGAAGTAGCCAATTACTCCCCAAACTGCGCCACCGCGCACTGGGAGGCAGCGGCTTCATGACAGAGGCGTCGCTTAATGTTACACAAGTATCACAATTTTATTTCCATTTCAAACCGAAGTGACATGTTGCGAATTCTGTTAGATCCGGTGCCAACTAGTAAATCACTTAAATAATTTATATTTACAGACACTTCTGCACATGGCTAGTAGATGGCCCTTAGTGATCTACTAACATATTTTATTCATTTTTACGACACCCTTTAAATTAAAAAAAAAGTCGCTATCATTAGGTCTACTTGCTAGAATTCAGAAACCTGGATACGGCCCGGGCGAAGAGATTAGGAAAAGTTTGGTAATCATTGGGGTAGTCAAACAAAATTCTGTCACAAATTATGCCACACGCACGGAAACATATCAAGGAAAACATTGGACATAAAGTTGTCCCTAGATTGAACATTACTGTAACTAGGGGCTTAACCGGGTGCAGTTTTTTTAAACCGGGTTCGGGTAATTTGAAAAAAAAAGACACTTTGGGTCCAAATGTTACAAAAAATGAGTTAACTTCTCATTTTCTATAATATACAACGAAATCTACTGCACTATCTTTAAAAAAAATAACCTCCACGTTTTGATTCAATCATTTCAAAGACTGTTTTATTTCCAGAAGGAACTTCAACATCCATCTCCCGGAAAGCCCTATAAGTCAATAAAAAGAACCGCTTATCTTCCAGCTACTGACGATGGCTATAGAGCATTACGTCTTTTAAGAGTTGCATTTCACAGACGTTTGATCTTCACAATAGATGTCTCACATACAACACGAATGGAAGGGATTGTTTGGAACATTCACCACAAGACAAGTCGTAATTCGTCTACGTAAGTAGCAGACAACACAAGGCATCAGAGTTGCTAAGGTTGAGCTATACTGAGCTAATTAAGGCACTACGTGGCACTTATTAATGAAAATAATTTCACTAATGAAGAAACAATACATAACAAATTACACGTTTCTTATACTTTTAATAAAATAATAATCTTTTTCACTGTTTCCAGAACTGCTCTAAATTATTTACCTTCTCATTTTTTAGACATGGTTACCCAGATCCAACGTATGTAACTAGCTTGATGGATGAGTTAAGGCAATATGGAGTGACAGATGACTCTGTGACCGTGGATGAGAAAAGATTAGTTGAAAAATTTATGGAAAGTCTGAGCAGAAAAAAGAAGCAGTTTGCAGAGTTTGATTAATCACTTGACTCAACAATTTTTTAAGATCATCAAAGACTTTAAACATAATTAAATTTTTTGTGTGATGTCATTAGATTTTAAAAATATTTTGCTTTTACTGTTACTTGTATAGATTACCCGGGGGATGGGAATGTACCAGTAGTGTTGCTGCATGTATCACAAGTAACACAATTTTAACTGTGCTAATATTTTGTTTAATATTGGTTGCATGTTTTTAGTCCTCACAAGGCCCAAGTTATCTAATCTTCATCAAATAACATTTTATTCAGTAGTCATTAAGTCATATGTTATTCAGTGTTCATAAAATCAATGTTATTCAGCCTACATACCTCTTGTGTATTTTTTAATGTACCGTTATATTTTTGAAAGATTTATTCTTTGTTAACATTTCGCTCGTAGAAAAACAATACGTAACAAAGACTGAGAAAAACAGAATGTAAAGAAACAACTCCAGTGGTAGTTATACTAAAAATATTTAATTCAATTGTATAAATATTTTTCTAGACAAATCTAAATTTTAGTACAGAAGCAAAAAAAAAAAAAAAAAAAAAAAAAAAAATTAATCAATTTGAAAAAAAAGAAAGAAAAGTACACACCGCAAAAAAAAAAAAAAAAAAAAAAAAAAAAACAAAAAAAAAAAAACAAATAAAAAAAAAAAAAAAAATAAATTTAAAAAAAAAAAAAAAAAAAAAAAAAAAAAGAAAAAAAAAAGATTAATCAATTTGCAATTAGTGAAAGAAAAGTACACTCCTCAAAAAAATAATAATATTAATTTAGACACACAAAAATAAATTCTCGTATCACAAAATCTCTCTCTCGCTCTTTTTATGTGTCTCGCTGTGTCTGTAAAGTCTCGCTATATCAGTCTGCTAAGAAACCGGGCGGGCTTTATATATGAATAAAAATCCAAACGTTCTAGTAAAGAAAATCTAAAAATTGCGTCTTTTAATGTAGTCTTGAGAACAAATGGAACAAATGGAACGCATTCGAATGTAAACAGCCTTTTCCCCAGCCAAGAAAGGGGCGGGCAGGGAAGGAGTGACACAACACATTTACACGATAACGTTAATATCAAGGTCATTATAGCAGACCAGTTTTGGTGGCTAAATGTAACTCTTCGGTGAAGTTTAAATATAAGCCAAGCCCTACACTATACTAGGCTATCTATAACAGTATTCATGAAGGACTTTTGGTTCCTATTATAACCAACTCAGACTTGAAGGACTTTTGGTTCCTATAATAACCAACTCAGACCTGGTTTGAGTTTTGTGACATGGATTCTCCACATGTGATGTCTTCCTATTAAATTGTATTTTTTCCAAAGTTACACTTATCCTCGCTGTGTGTGTAAATCTTTTCAAACAAACAAGAAGCATTATAACAGGCTATATCGCTCGCATGTTTTATTAAACTAAAATGCAAATAAAACACATACATTGTTTGTTATAACTGACCTCTTGAAAATGGGATTAGATGTCATAGTCTAAAACAGTGTCATAAAACCCTTTCCATTCAAGGCACACCTAGACCATTCACAGATTTCCGCGGCACATTTAAATCCTTCCCAGATTTTCGCGGCACATATAAAGCCTTCCAAGATTTCCACGGAACACCTAGAACCTTCCAAGATTTCTACTGCACACCTAGACTTTTCCAAATGTCCGTGTCATTCATAGTTGCTTCCCAGATTTACACCTTTGCAGCACACCTAGACCCTTCCCATATTTACATGTCACACTCCTACCCTGCTCAGATTTCCGCGGCACACCCAAATGCTTCCCAGATTTCATTGGAACACCTAGACCCTTTCTAGACCACCGAGTCACTCGTTGTTATACATTCTTTAATCACAAATCTAGATCTAGACCCATCCAAATATGACCGCAGCTAGAGATGGGGGGAAAAAAAACTTGGAAAAAGAGCGTGTACATTTCTGTAAGCGACAGCAAACATTTTTTTTTTGGTGTAGGGGTGTGTTTGTAATTTGGTGATTGGAATTTATCTTAGTATTGTTGAATGAAGAATTGATTTTTTTTTCTAAATTGAACCACAGTAAATACTAGCTATGCATTGTTGTGGACTGTGGTTTAAACAGCATATTAATAATTAAAGAATTCAGAACATTTTAATCGTGATGATTTGACCTTACACTACACAGCAACGGAGTTCTACACATCAGCCTTGTAGGGCCTAGGAGACAGCAACGGAGTTCTACACATCAGACTTGTAGGGCCTAAGAGACAGTAACGGAGTTCTACACATCAGCCTTATAGGGCCTAGGAGACAGCAACGGAGTTCTACACATCAGCCTTGTAGGGCCTAGGAGACAGCAACGGAGTTCTACACATCAGCCTTGTAGGGCCTAGCAGACAGCAACGGAGTTCTACACATCAACCTTGTAGGGCCTAGGAGACAGCAACGGAGTTCTACACATCAACCTTGTAGGGCCTAGGAGACGGCAACGGAGTTCTACACATCAGCCTTGTAGGGCCTAGGAGACAGCAACGGAGTTCTACACATCAGCCTTGTAGGGCCTAGGAGACTGCAACGGAGTTCTACACATCAGCCTTGTAGGGCCTAGGAGACAGCAACGGAGTTCTACACATCAGCCTTGTAGGGCCTAGGAGACAGCAACGGAGTTCTACACATCAACCTTGTAGGGCCTAGGAGACAGCAACGGAGTACTACACATCAGCCTTGTAGGACCTAGGAGACAGCAACGGAATTCTACACATCAACCTTGTAGGGCCTAGGAGACAGCAACGGAGTTCTACACATCGGTCTTGTAGAGGCTATACATAGTATATAACATCATACTTCTAGATTGTACACTCTTACATTTTTGTTTAGGGCTATACGGAGGGGACCTTCTCGTAGACAACATTCTTTTCGCAACAATGGGGGTCCATGAAACCAGTCATACAGGACGCAACTGTTCGCCATGGTGGGGGGTCCGTCAAATCAACAACACAATTCGCCACAGGATGGGCTGTTAAAAGATCCGCACCAGTCATACCATTTGCCACAGGTAATACCGTCAAAAGAGCCATACCCTGATACCATTTGCCTATGGTGGGCCCATCAAAAGGGACATCCAAGGGATCCAGATTATTGCTTGCTGATGAATGCTTCTTGACGACACGTTCTTTGTATTGTTGCATTCCTTCTTCGGGTTTTCAATGCTCTGTTTCACTCATTTCATTTTTTGCTAAACTCATTGCAGTCTCTCCTCCTTATAACCAAGTACTAGTATAGCATCTCAATTGAGAATTACGTTGTCTAAGAAAATTTTCATTAAGATAGATTGACTTTGGTTTTTTTAATCATAAGGATTACGCGTTTAGAAATGCTTTCATCTCTTGAGTGGGTGACCTCAGAAAAGACATTATACAAAAATGCATCCATTTTCAATGAGGACAGAAGAATTTTCGATAATGCCTTCCTCTTATAAAGGCTCTTGGAGTTTTTTATTTCCAAGTTTTAAAAAGTCCGCCTGAAAAGCCTCGTTGTACTTATGGAACATTTTCCTAATAGACACGCATGTTTTAGTCAAACTTTAAGACCTTAATATTCTCCTCAAACTTACTGTTCTTCATGAACAAAGATAGTATGTCGGTTCTTTTATCGTGAAGAAAAAAAAGGAAGAATTCGTTTAAAATCAGCACCGAAAAAGAAAGACCGCAACCAAAAAATATTTGTTAACAAAAGAAAGAATTTTTTTGAACTTTGGCCAAGAGTACATTATACAGTGTGTCAACTGTAGTTACTCCATGTTTTTCGGCTACTGAAGCTTCATTTCAGAATATCAATTTGTCCTTTTTCAGTTCATTTGCCAGTATTGGTCTCATGTCGAATATTGCACGTTGATATTTCATCTATTGGAATAATAAGTTTGAAACGATTCAAATTCGCTGCTTTGTCTGTGTATGTACATGGCAAGACTAATTCAGTTTAGCTACGCACATAGTACATGATTGTGTTGTAAATGAAAAACATAGTACATGATTGTGTTGTAAATGAAAAACATAGTACATGATTGTGTTGTAAATGAAAAACATAGTACATGATTGTGTTGTAAAAGACGCACATAGTACATGATTGTGTTGTAAAAGACGCACATAGAACATGATTGTGTTGTGAAGGACCCACATAGTACATGATTGTGTTGTAAAAGACGCACATAGTACATGATTGTGTTGTGAAGGACGCACATAGTACATGATTGTGTTGTAAAAGACGCACATAGTACATGATTGTGTTGTGAAGGACGCACATAGTACATGATTGTGTTGTAAAAGACGCACATAGTACATGATTGTGTTGTAAAAGACGCACATAGAACATGATTGCGTTGTAAAGGAAACTTTTATCACTTCCGCCTGGTCCATCGTTTGGGCAATTTAAGGGTTTCAATAGCTTCCTTGATTTTGTCGAAAGCCCTTCTTTGCCCCTTATGGAGCACTTGAAAATCACTTGGAGCATGTTTTTTTCGGAAATTAGATTGTAATATTTTCCAGAATTGATTTTCTCATCATAGTTGCCATCTGGAAATACAAGGCCAGAATCTTAAAAGGACTGTCCATTTGTTCAAAAGACGATTCAATTACCCTAAGATATTCCTCTCCATCAGGATAGTGGCTCTTTTTGTCTTTCATTAGATTAAGCTTATTCCTATCGAATAATGCTGGTGCATCCGACGGCTCACACATTATACAAAAAATGCAAAATACTGCCTCATTCGTACTGGCAACAGGTTGGTTGCACTTTTATTAAGTAACACCTATTCTGAAATATCAGCAGTTAACCAACTGGCAATGCATGTTGCAATGGGATAGGATTTCCTTCGACCGCACTTAGATCCTTAGTATGTTGTTCTTCTAAAATTAAGAAGGAGAATTCGGAAGCACCATTTTTACTCTATCCGAGGGTCTATCCGGTAAACATTCTGCCGATTGCAGTTTCATGTCCTACAAGAGGTGATTTCCATTTTGAATATTAGTCATCCCAGGCGCTCCCATATATAAATGCCCTCGTGCATTAAGGTCTTCCTGATTAATTTTACACAAGACAGATGTTTCGACCTAGTACATTTTTGCTGCATAGTTTCAGGTTAATAGCCTGTTATATTATTATTAAGTATTAACCAGATTAAAAATAAAAAGATCACCATAACGTTTCGCTGTTTTCGTCATCTCATACTAATGCTTTGTGTTTATATAAATAGCTTACAAGATAGCACTGTATTAATATTGAGCCTAGTAACAACACACTAGTCTTTCTTTGCTGGCGACGTAATTATTTCTTTCGCCACCCAACCTCCCCCACCCCTCCCTTCTTTGGTGGGGGATTTTTTTTCAAACCGGGTCTCTTAAAATTGTTGTTCTGCCGGGTCCCGACGGAGAATCGCAAAAGACATGTAAATATTCGCCATAATCATATAAGCAAACAGGTCTGCAGTAGCCTTACTACATAATAATAATACGAAACCGTGATACATGCACACTCATGTTATGTCGTCAATAACAATGTTTATGGGCGTGATCATGATGAATTTCAAGAAATGAATGGTTTGAAAAGGCCTAAGTTTGCGTACAAATTTTAAAATATATATATAAATAAATACTTTTTTTTGAACCCTTAAAAATTTACTTTCCCTGATCAAAAAGTCTAACAGATACATTGAATTCAACTATACTCTAAAATGCGCGGCTAGATTTTGAAATTCTTTGGATAACGGATCCCCAGAACCCTCAACCGCTCAAGATTCATCCTACTTACTTACGGACTTATGCCTTTTAACCCGTCTTGGGCATAGGGCGTCTACAAGAATTTTCCATTCATCTCTGTCGTGTGCGTTCCTCTTCAGTTGCTTCCATGTGTATCCCATACTTCGTGTGTCTGCCTCTGGCTCACGTCTCCATGTATTTTTGGGGCTTCCTTTCTTTCTTTTTCCCCTGTGAATTTCATTTAAGTGATTGTCTGGTGATGTTATCTGGGGGTTTGATGAGAGTGTGCCCTATCCTCATCCATCTTTTCTTTATGATGTCTTCAGCAATAGGCTCCTGGTATTTTTCATTTAGTAAGTCTTTGTTGGTGATTGCGTTAGCTGTCAGGCCATTTGATTTTCAAGATCTTTCTAAGGCAAGTGTTTATGAAGGTCTGTACTTTTTGCTTGATGCTCGCTGTTGTTCTCCAAGTTTCTACTCCATATAGTAGGCCTATTTCGACATTTGTGTTGAAAATTCTGACTATTGTTTGAAGAGTCAGCTCCTTTTCTCCCATATTTTCTTAAAAAAACCCACAAATGCTGACCTAGCCTTTCCAATTCTAGCACTTACTTTCGCTTCGGATCCTCCATTTATGTCGATGGTGCTGCCTAAGTATGTGAAGGACTCCACTTCTTCCAGCGTATGTCGTACCAGAAGATATACTTTTGTTCGGTTGAGTTTACCACTATGATGTTTGTCTAGATTTTTTTTTTTTATATTGGCACCCTCGATTTCTCCCCTTAACCCCGATAAAAATGTTCGATCATTTTCTTTCAAACACCACTAAAGCACATTTTGACGCCCCCGCTAGTCTGGCGCCCGGAACGCATGCCCCCTCTGCCACCCCTTAGCTTCGCCCCTGGCCATTGCCCAGTGGCAACTGGCACTGCGCCCCCCAAAATAAAATCTGAATCCCCCACCTCCCGTCCGTGGCAAAATGTCTGAAAGAAACACTGCTATAAATAATTCATTATTACGTATTGTGAAAGGCTGCTGTAAACAATGTGGATATAATAATATGCGCCCCTACCACAAATGGCTTTACATTTTCCAATGTGGCTCTGCGCACAAAAAAGTTTGCCCACCCCTGGTATACACATTTTAACATTGTTATAATATCGGATTTTCCCCCAAATTGCTAATACTAAAAATAAATGAAAATGAAAACCCAATTACTATTGTAATAAGATGCATTGAAGCATTGTTCTCTCAATTATAAAATTAAATAGCAGGGGAAAATCTCCATTTTGATTGCTGGTAGTCATGAAGAGAAATATAACTTTATACAAACTATTTTAGTATAAATAATAACTTAATTAAAATGAAACAAGCTTGCACGCCCTGCTTTTAAATCATATAATTTTTAAAATGAAATTCCAGGAAAAGTGAGCGAAAAACGGAAAATATTGAGCTGGGGATGGGGAGTCTTAGTCTTAGTTTTATTTTCAGTTTTATCACAAAAGCAAAAAGGACGGTTTGTCTCAGTTAAATTTGAAACGAATTAAATTAATCTAAATGAAGAATGCGAGTTATCCCATCAGTTATCGATGTCTGGAAACATACTAAACTTGTAAGTATTTTCTCTCGGTACTTCTTGGCTGTGACAGATTATTTTGTTATTTTTTTAATATTACTTATTTTTATAGAACAAAATGTAGTCTCTTGGATTTGTTCACAGATTAAATGATTCTACGTAAATATCTGTTAAAATTTTTTTTAAACAACCTAAAACTTTTCCTCATTACCAATAGTGGGTAAGAATAAATATTTATTGTTAATTGTTAAGTAGTGTCGAAACAGTCATAAACAAACCGAGACTAAGATTAATTTCGGGAAAATCTTAATGATTCATAATCATCATGTCGGCAGTGACACCCAAATACCCTACATTTAAATAATCAGAAAGAAATGAAGTAGGGATGAAGTGGAAAATATTAATATTTGAAAATTCATTAAAAAAAAAAAAATTAAATTCATTGATCAAAGAAAGGAGAAGGGAACACTGTCAACCATTAATAATGCATTTTGATTTTTCCAGTAAATCAGTCAGAAAAGATTCAACAAACATTTTTGAATCACGAGAAATGGTCTGAGGAAAGAAGTTTCCTCAGGGAAAATAGATTTGCTTGCTCAACTAAGGATCCCGGATGAAATTAATCAGGGGATGACTGGTGGCACAGTGACAATTTTTGGTGGAAAACCCGCTGGGGTGGCATCGCTCACAAGAGAAAGAGTCCGATGTAAAACAAACTAAAAGCCACACATCCAATGACAAACGTTTCGATGGTGACGATGGCAAAGTTAGCACCCCTGTAGAAAGCACCTCCGGAGACAGCACCTCTGTAAGAAGCACCCCTGTTGTAAGCAACTCTGTAGAAAGCACCTATGTCGATAGCACCTATGTCGATAGCACCTATGTCGATAGCACCTATGTCGATAGCACCTATGTCGATAGCACCTATGTCGATAGCACCTATGTCGATAGCACCTATGTCGATAGCACCTATGTCGATAGCACCTATGTCGATAGCACCTCTGTAGGTAGCGCCTCCATCCGTCGCAGTGAGAAAGAAATGTGCGATACAAGTGAACCTGGACATTCACGAGAATTGAAACAAACAAGAGCTCAGTCTTATATACAAGTGAACCTGGACATTCACGTGAATTGAAACAAACAAGAGCTCAGTCTTATATACAAGTGAACCTGGACATTCACGTGAATTGAAACAAACAAGAGCTCAGTCTTATATACAAGTGAACCTGGACATTCACGTGAATTGAAACAAACAAGAGCTCAGTCTTATATACAAGTGAACCTGGACATTCACGTGAATTGAAACAAACAAGAGCTCAGTCTTATATACAAGTGAACCTGGACATTCACGTGAATTGAAACAAACAAGAGCTCAGTCTTATATACAAGTGAACCTGGACATTCACGTGAATTGAAACAAACAAGAGCTCAGTCTTATATACAAGTGAACCTGGACATTCACGTGAATTGAAACAAACAAGAGCTCAGTCTTATATACAAGTGAACCTGGACATTCACGTGAATTGAAACAAACAAGAGCTCAGTCTTATATACAAGTGAACCTGGACATTCACGTGAATTGAAACAAACAAGAGCTCAGTTTTATGCAGGAAATAAAACTAATTTAAAAGTTTACGTGAGAAAAGAAAACATCACAAAACTTGATGTAGATATTATTGTGAATGCAGCAAATCGACATCTACGGCATGGCGGCGGCGTGGCTAAGGCAATTGCTTCAGCAGCTGGCCATTCATTAAAAAATGAGTGCAATTCTCATATTAATACTAATGGACCTCTCGAAGTCACTGATGTATTTGTGTCGAGTGGTGGGCTGCTGAAAGTAAAATATGTGATGCATGCAGTGGGACCAAGATGGGTTGATTATCCAGATAAAGACAGATGTTTAACAGAACTGCGTAGAACTGTGGTCAGATGTCTGGTTGAAGCATCGAGGCTAAAGAAAGTATCCATAGCCATGCCATCGATCAGTGCTGGTAAGCATTTCCTATTTTGATACACCGTAGACATTTTAAGATTTTAAAGTTTTATTAAAATAGAAAGGTCATTGGGTAAATTTAGAAGAAAAAAATTTGAATTTAAAATCCAAAATGTTCTTGTGTCTTTGAAGGTTTTCAAATGAATTCAACCAGTTCTAATTATGTATTCTTTGTGTACATTTCTGAATTGTAGAAACCGTTCAAAGTCCTTTTTATTTAACTGAACATTTTTTTTTATTCTAACAGTTGATAAATACAATATTTCTTAAATTATAAATGAAGTTTCAATTTTTTAATATTTTTTTTTTTTGCATCAAGAAATTTAATAAACAAATTTCCAAATTATTTTCATTTAGTTTTACTATTATTCATATTCTTAACAGCAATTTTTAAAGTACCCAAAGAATTATGTGCTCACTGCTACATGGAAGCTGTCAAAAGCTTTGATGACTTTGCTGATAAGTTGGGTGTTGTCCCTGTCAAGGACGTTTGGTTTGTTGATGTTGATGAAGATATGGTGAATATCATACAAAAGAAGTTCGAAAAAGAATGGCACAAACCAGTGGATGAGAAGATTGCTCATGAAGATTTCAAATTAGCCCAGCTGCACATGTCCAAAAATAGTGATGATAAATTTGATGGCTCTGCTATTGAAAAGAAAGATCAACGGAAATTATCCCATGGGACGAAGTTACTTGATGAAAGCAATGCACTGTTTGCCCAAGAAGATGTGTCGACTTCAAAAAGCTATCAAGTTAATTCAATACACATTAGTATTGTTACAAAACCAGCCACTGTTTATAGATCAACAATTGTGGTGGTTGGAGAATTATTTGATGAATTAAGTGGGCTACATGAATTCAATGTTAAAGATTTAGCTAAACCTATTCATGATTTACCAATGCAAAAGGGAGAGTTTCAATATCTATCACTTTCAAAACCTGATGGAAGTCGGTCAACCTTGATATGTCAATTGCATCCAAACCCGGACAGCCCAGATAATGTTACCAAAGCTTTTGGGAACTTGGATAATGCCAAAGAAATCCACAAGTCAGACACAGTTGTCTTTACAAGTGCAATCTTTTATGCCAGTAAGTGAATTTTATTACTTATTTTTGAATTGAAGTCTTACTAGCAACATCAGAAATAACATACACTTTTCCACAGATCGAGCTTTTTAAAACTATTATCGTGAGTGGGATAAATCCCTCTTCTTTAGCTACTGTGACCTTGTGTTAGACATAACCAATAGCAAAGAAGATAAGCAGATGCTAGTACATACAATTTTATTTCGGCTTTCCCAGGACATAATTGTTTTGCATTCCCATCATCTAAGCATCTTTTAATTTTATTTCACAAACATAAAACCAGGCTGTTTACCTCCAGCTCTTAAGATTTTGCGCAAAAACTTCAACTCAATAAAATTTCAATGATCCTAGCAATCTGTTTTTTTTTTAAATGTGACCAATCGTCTTATGTTTAGCATGAAGGTAATAATGACCACTATAGGATATACCCACTAGATACAGACGTGTATGAAAAACTTAACTAGTATAATTAGTTATGTCCATAACATCCATATATTATTTAGCCACTGAGGGAAAAGGGGGTTGTTAATTAGGGATATTTTGATACGGCTGCGTATAGTGCACGGGGTGGGGGTTTCAGCAAAATTCATTACTTTATTTATGCTAAAATATTCTGCAATAAACATGCAGAAATTCTGACAGACTATAAATAAAGCCGTCACCAAAAACATCCATGTCATCTGTCATAGTTTCCAAGGATTAAAAAATATCACCCCCCCCCACAAGCCTCGTAATTAGCGACATAGTGTTGCTTTGCGCTTTCTCCAAGATAGCCTCATGGCCTCACAAGATATGGCAACATTAATATTACAATTTTAAGCCATAGTTTGTTTTTGCAGATTGGAGTTGGAGGGAGGGGGGGATTCTCATTTTTTTGTAAGTATGGAGGATAACAGGATACTTTCTGAGGGAAACTTGAGACCCACAACCAATGGGCACTCTCTACAATCAACCCTTCAGTATGTTACATGTGTTGGATGAAATAGCACTGCTAGGGAAAAGTAGTAAAGATTTATTAAAAGCCCTTATTGAATTAGAAGATGCATCACTACAAGCAGGGCTGGAAGTTAACAACCAAAAACAAAAAATACTTGACTATGATAAGAGAAGAACAGACAGAAGAAGAAACCAGACTTTTGAAAAAGTAAATCAATTCAAATACCTAGGATCTTTATTAAATGAATGAAAGAAACGAATATCAGCCGGAAACGGGGAATACTTCAGTAGTCAGAAAATACTCAAAAGTAAAAAATACATTACAAGAGAAAGAAAGAAAACTATTTATGGAACTCTCATCAGACCAGTTGTAACATATGCAAGTGAAACGTTGACCCTAACAAAAACGGCAGAAAACCTATTAAACACAAGGGAGAGAAAAGTTCTCCGGAAAATATATGGACCAACAAAGGATGAATATGGATGGAGAAATGCGAACCAACCATGAATCCAACACTACAAGCAGAAGGCAGAAATAAAATGGGTGGGCTACGCTGAACAGGACATTTAGAAAGAATGCCAAATGACAGGGGAGTGAAGAGGGTGCACCACCAAAACCTCAGAGGAAAACAGTTCAAAGGCAGACCTAGGCTTAGATGGATGGATGATGGGGACAAAGATCTACAACTGCTTGGAATCCAAACATGGAAAAAAATGCATCAGTTCGGTCTGAGTGGAAGGAAATAGAGAAGCATGCCAAAGCCCTGCATGGGCTGTAGCGCCACAGGGCTGGATTGATCAGTTGGGGGTGGGGGGGGGTAGTGACAATTTGACTCTATGAGTACTTGGTCACATAAATGAGTGAATATTAATTGAATTTTTCTCAAAGTTGGTGTCAGTGAACGTAATTTTGACATTTAAATCATGAAGGGGGCAACATCATTTATTTAATTAGTATGAAATCTTTAAATTATTTTCTTTAATGGATTTATATAAGGATCAATGAACACCATTCAAATTTGTTTTCATTATCGTTTTCAGAATCCCAACAAGGACAAAATAGTACAAAAATTATTTCCAGAATTGCATTTAAGCTTTTCGATTTTGCTGCTGCAATCTCTAGTACTGATTCAGCAATAAAGTCCATTTTAATTGCGACTGGTGCAGATTACATTCCACAAGTCATCAAGATATTTGAGGAAAGGAGAGCATCAACAACTCCACCAGGGCGAACATCAAGAGGTTGGTTGAATTTTATTTTGATGCACACAAAAGATGTGAGCTAAATATTTTAATTTTATCGAACTCCAAAACAAATAAATAAATACATGAACACAACTAAAATAACCATTGCGGTATATGATAAATTTATGAAAGTGGACACATGAAACGCAGACACGAAGAATGACAACAGAAGGCACCTGATGCAAAATGAAAATTCTTGAAAAAAGTTTAAGCAAAACTTACAAATGGTTCAATTTTTCTTTTAAAGTTTATATGTGCTGTGAAATATCAGTATGCGCCAAAAGTAATAGTATTGAAACTCTTGCATCTTGAACACGTATAAACGTCTATGTTTTGTCAACGGCGTTTATGAACCAGCATAGTAGGCCTATTGAAAAAGATGATATATTGGACAGTTGCTAATGGGAAATGGATAGCTAACCAGAGGAAGAGGTATTCACAGTTGACCATTATTTTCGTTCATATATTCACGTGATGATGAAGTTGGACAAGTTTGAAACAAGTCAGCTTACACTTTTATAATGTGGCAAACAAACCTGTCATTTTTGCCCCCTGCTAATTCAGACTTACCGCCCCGATTAAACTTAACAGTGTAAACAAAATCTGAAATTTTCTTAAAACTCAGGGTTTACCCTCGGTGTGTGTGAGAGAGATAACAAATGCTTTTTGTCTGTGACTGAGCAAGACAGGGCGAGCTGTAGGAATGTGCGAACTAAATGTGGATTCTGTCCTAGGCATTGTCTGGTGAAGCTATCTGGTGGTTTTCGGAGAGTGTGCCCTATCCAACCCCATCTTCTCTTTTTGATGTATTCATCAATGGTCACCTTTAATGTCTTTTATGGTAGATCTTTGTTGGTGATGGTATTTGATATTCAGGATCTTTCTAAGGTATGTGTTTACGAAGGTCTGTACTTTCTGCTTAACGCTCGCTGTTGTTTTCCAAGTTTCTGTTCCATATAGTAGGACTGTTTTGACATTAGTGTTAAAGATTCTGATTTTGGTTTGCAGTTTCAGCTCCTTCGACTCCCATATATTCTTTAATAGCACAATAAATGCTGATTTATCTTTTCCAATTCTAGCCCTTACATCCACGTCGGATCCCCCATTTATGTCGATGGTACTGCTTAAGTATGTGAAGGACTCCACTTCCTCCATGGCAGTGCCTTTCATGCCAGAGAGATATGCTCTTGGTTGGCTGAGTTTACCTTCATGATCGTTGTATTGCTTTTATTTATATTGAGTCAGAGCTGTGCTGAAATGGTAGCTACGTCTTTTGACTTTTCCTGCAATTGTTGCTGGTTGTGGGACAGAAATACAATGTCATCTGCAAAGCCTAGGTCAATCAGTTGTTCCCAGAGTGTCCACTGTATCCCATTCCTCTTTTTGTCTGTGGACATTTTCATTATCCCGTCAATGGCATGGATGAATAGGAAGGGGGACAAGTGTCCACTTTAAAGACATCTGTGACACTTCGTGGACACCCTGCATCTCATTTATTTATTAGAACTCTGAATAATCCTGACTAGTTTCCCCGGTACTCCATAATGGTGAAGAAGTTTCCACAAGGTTTGTCGGTCCAGGCTATCAAAGGCCTTTTTGAAGTCTATAAAATGTATATATAAGGGGAGTTCCATTTTACAGACAACTTTATATTTTTCCATTTATGTTCTACTTGGTCATCAGACCATGGACTTTGTACATTATGTGTGGGCCACGCCAGTCAAAGGTTTTGAAAATTTAATCTGTTTTAAGATTTGGCTCGTACATTGAACAATACGCAACAAAGGACTGAAAACTAGTATTCAAGGATAAAGATACTAACAATTTTCAAGTTAAGTTTACCGTTAAAATTCTATAAAAATACAAAATCAAAATTACAGGAAAACAACAACAACTAGATCTATATCAATTTATAGCAGGGCAAGTGAAAAGGTGCAATCCTCGAAAAATAAAAATATTAATTGACACAGATACATAAAAAGTACAATCTTGTAAGTACGTCTCGCAGTGTCTAGGAAAATAGCAAATAACTCTCCTGGTTAGGAAAACAAAACTACCGGCTTATACATAGATATATATGGGGATTAAATCAGAAGCATCTAGAAAAGAAATTGTAGAAATTGCATCAACTGCTAGCATTCCTTAGAGCAGTTGCGGATTTTCACAAAACGGTTAACGAATTTTTAAAACCATGGTTAAAAAATACAGAAATTATATATTTTTTTAATAAACATATGCGTTTGCTGGAAGTGGGTCACTTAGCCATCCGAATATTTAGCCAGTCAGCCAAGAACAAAAACGAAGTTAATATAAAGGTCCCCTCACCTACACATGCACGTATAAATCACTAATGTCATAATGTATCGATCACATTCAAACATGCTCGCAAATTATTAAAAAGGGGACATGTACTTCCTGTAAAAATAACATTAAATCATACACATTAGTATACGAATAATAATGAAACAATTACACATAAGCAATGAATTTAATACTAGATTGGTTACAATTTCCAAACAGTTATTATAGTTGAGATGTAATGGCATTTATATTCTGCTATACTAAGGTGCTTTCCTAAACATCTTTCCTGGCGAAATAGCGTATCACATCATCAAAAGCAATCGTCTTTGTAAGATCACTCAATACTGAGTCTTGCCAAATCTACCGGTCGCCCCGAGACACAGTCGTTCTTGGATACTTTTTTTTATCAACTTTAGTTTGCTGAATGAGGGCTCTGCACAGGTGACAATGGCAGGAATCTTTAATAAGCTATTTGAGCCAGACACATAATTTATTTGGAAATAGTCCTTCTCGCTCTTATCTTGTCAATCAATTCATTAGCTCCTTTGAACTAAGTTGGCGCAAACAGCAACGTTTGCTTGATAAACAGATGGTAAATGACTTGTCTCCATTACAAGATCTTCCGGTATATTGATCTGCTGGTGATTTTGATTTTATTTTCAGTTCATCTTGGGGAATTGCATGGTGCCTCCATAGGGAGCTAAATTTCTTAGAAATGTTCACTACAGCAGTAAAAAAAAACATAACATTATCCAGTATTACATAAAAAAACTTTCTGAATATGCTTTCTCGTGAGATTCATCCATTTCATCTTTTTTAAAAAATTATGCTTTTTATGTAGCACTACACCATTTAGCCTTATTTATTTTGCATTTGGCACCCCCCCCCTCGAGTTCCAGAAAGTTTCATTTCTATGCACGATTTAGAAGTAATATGCACATCTTCGCTTCGCATACTTTCCAGTTTTTCCGAAAAATTGTCAGTTCTGAAATCAAGCTTTTTAAGTTTCACACTTCGACATCAAGCGTTGTATTTCTTGACTCAATAACCATGCTTAAGATATCACCATGAACTATTCCTCTGTACGATACAACATACATTGTCACACTAAGGAAGAATAAGACAAAATTTATTAATGCCTGTTATTGTTTGGGCAGTTAGATTAAAGCTCAAAAAGGTTTTCTAATGCGAATTCGATACCTGGCAGGTGGTCTACAAACGGCGTTATAGCCTCAAAACAGTCTGACAATCAGCACTTCTATTGCTGCCCACAGATACTACTTACCAGCTGAGTGCTATTTCTTATTTTTATTTTTAAACCGTTTTTTTCTGTTGTTTTGTTCGCTGACGAAGGCTTTCTGCCGACACGTTCGCTGTTTTGTTGCGTTTACTTTTTCAGGTTTAACCCTACTCTGTTTTACTCATTTTATTTTGCAAGTTTTTTCCATCGCTTTGGACTTAAACTAAAAAATGTGTAAACCGTTCATTTACTGTTCCAAAGTTTGTTATAGCTTCATTAATGCATTCTGAAGCATCATTTACAACATAAATTAAATGTGCTAGACTCTCGTGGTGAACATAAAGCTGTTTCACATTGCTCAAGTATTCTTGCTTGCACACCTTTATATTTTCCTCCCATGTTGGTAGCATTGTCATAACCCTGTGCAAAACGATCTGCCAGTGGAATATCGTTTTTTCCCCCAATGTTTCTACTATCGTATGTGCCATGTCATATCCTGTTTTATGCCTTGTGTCCACTAACTGAGAAAATCTTTCTACAATTTCATACTGGTTTTCATATGCTATAATGTAACGCAAAATAAATGGTTTTGTTCAACATAGGATGAATCCAGCGTGGAGCCCACAGCAACAGAAAAGTACTTGGCAGTTTTTATGTCCTTCAAATGTGTTTCTCTAGAAGTGAATAACATACAGCATATTAACTCGTTTTGGGAATCGGCACTGAGATAATGTACCTGAAACCGTTCTCCTTTTTCTTGTGGGTCTTTAATTTGCAACACTTGTTTTTTGTTGTTGTTTTTTTTAGAATTAGATCCCAATGAGACAAAAACTCATTCCCAGAAAATTTTCCAAATATCATTTTCATGAATGCGCCGGGAACTGCCATGCAAATCAGGTCCCCCTTTCACCAAGGAATACTATATCAATTATTCGTTTCCTAATGTTGTTCACCTTGACCAGATTCTGTTTCATGTGATGCCTCGAATAGATTGTAAATGCCTTTGTTTTGCCAGATGACATGCGTCTTTGTAGTTCTCGCTAAGCCAGATAGCACTGCCTATGACTGTTGCTTCTCTCATTTTCTGGGATGCAAATACATATGTGTCGCCACTTTTTAGCTTCTGACCATCCTTCTTTTGTTACAAGCATAAGCTTAGATGCTGAGCTAATGCTACAACAGATCTTATTCGAAAATAATCGTCAACGAAAAAAAAAATGCGTTCTTTATCTTCACTCCAGACAAGCCGATCTCATTCATGTTTGTACCATTTAAACTTCGAAATGTTAGAATACTTTAGGAACCAGTATGACCTGTAATATTAAAGCTGTATATGTTAAACAAGGCTGCAAGGCGGTTTGGCAATACAAACAAAGTATAGAGTATGAAATACTTATGCAATATTTTGTTTTTCTTCTTTTGAAACAATTAATTTGGTTTTGTAAAAAAAAAAAAAAAGAAATACTTTCCCCTTCGTGACCCCCTTTTAGTTCCAGTGGCCCCGGTTGTACCTCTTTCTCCTCAGGCCTGGTTGTATTCATGTGTCACATCTTTCTGCCGGCTATCATTCTTAGTAGAAAGAGAGCTGTATATTTTTATGAGATTGAAACGACCTTGTGACGGACAGAAGGCCGTATCGAAATATTTTAAATTCCATACTGTTTTAAACTTAGTTGTAGTTTGTTTAAAAGCGTTCGTATGCTGTTATTTTTTTCCCCCTCGTTGAGCCCGATTGCTCGATCCACCAATGTTGATAGATGATGGTGGACCAAAGTTTTTAGACATTGGTGTCAAGCAATTGAAAGTTTTCATCCTTTTGTTGATCATGGACCAGCAGCCGGTAATCAAGGAACATTAGGTGGTTATCCAGCAACATCAGGTGGCTATGCAGGAACATCAGGTGGCTATCCAGCTACTTCAGGTGGCTATCCAGCAACATCATGCAGTTATCCACAAAAAAACTGTGGGTTCTCCAACAGTAGCAGGCGGCTATCAAAATTCATCAAGTGGCCATGCAGCAAAGACAAGTGTTATCAAAGATAAAGTGTATGCTAATAAAGTGACTCCAGGACAGATGTTAATCCTCAGTAAAAATTTGAATAGAATGTCGACATCTTTTATGTTAAGTTTCTGCATATACATGTTATAATCTAAAATCCATATCTTATCAAGAGTGATGTAATACAAGAAATACAAGGTGACACTTTAAAAAAAAAAAGTTAAATAGAAATGAAGCACGATAAATGTGTAACACGTTTTTTTCTTCTTCTGCATTGCAGCTCTGGACTCTCCTGTGGACTCACAGGACCGCTGCTCTCTGTGTTCTGAAAGTATAAATATTGAATCACTGAAATGCTGCCGGGAATTGATATGTTCTGCTTGCTTAGGCAAACTTTCAATTTGCCCCTTTTGTAGAGTTCCCGTTAAAATTCTAATAGGCAAGCAGCCTACAAATGGAGGCATGAGCTGCTCTTCTTCCCAATTAGATGTGCATGGCTATGAGAGGAAAGGAAGTTTGGAAATTAACTATTACTTTCCTGCTGGAATCCAAGCAGTAAGATTCCTTTCATCGTATATAACGTTTTTTGTGTGTGTTCCTGTTAGGAGCTTTCATTATTTACTGACGCAAGTAAAGTCAAACTTGCATACCCCCTTCCTACATGTTGCAGCTGTTAAGTTTTGGACACCTCTCATGCTTATATACGAATTTGAATTTTCACCCCTACCCCCCCCCAAACCCCCCCAACCCCCCAAAAAAACAACAACAACCAAAACAACAACAAACAAAGCCACATGCTTTTGTGACGGCACATGGCAAGCAGACCAAGTCGTCGTCGTCATTATTTTCATTTCACCCCCACCCCCCCCCCAAACCCCCCCAACCCCCCAAAAAAACAACAACAACCAAAACAACAACAAACAAAGCCACATGCTTTTGTGACGGCACATGGCAAGCAGACCAAGTCGTCGTCGTCATTATTTTCTCTGGTGTCTGTTTAAAGTGGCCAAGTACTTCCCTTACTGCGCCAACGCGCCCTGGGAGGCAGCGGCTTCCTCGGTGGGGCGTCGCAAAATATTACCCAATTTTCACAATGTTCATTTCAATACGATGTGACAGATTGCGAATTCTAGCAGAACTGGGGCAATAAAGAAAATCACTTGAATAAATTAGTGTTTTCTTAAGAGACTCCTACACATGGTTACTAAATGGCGCCAAGTGACCTACTTACATGTTTTATTTGTTTGTAGGACATCCTGTGATTAAAAGAAAAAAAAAATCAAAACAACAATACGTCGCTATCTTGAAGTCCACCTGTTAGAGTTCGGAAACCTGGATTCGGCCAGGGCGAAGAGACTAGGAACAGTTTGAGAATCACTGGGCTAGTCAAACAAAATTATGTCACAAATGATGTCACGCGCACGGAAACATACCAATGAGAAAAGTACACGTTAAGTTGTCCTTGGGCTGTATATTACTGCTGTTGTCGCGATATTTAGTGAGTCAATGTGTGAAAACAAAAAGGCAATGAGATGACGATAATTATAAACACTGTGTATTTACATATATTTTTTTCAACCCTGAAAAATAATTAGAATTCATGGATTTCCCAGTCTTTCGGGTGGCAGTTGACATAGGCTTTTTTTTTATAGATTTCTCAATAAATATATCATAATTTAAGAATTAATTTCTTTATGGTAAACCATAGAGAAGTTTTTTTTTTTTTTTTTTTAATGAGATGAGGCACAACCGTTCCGAAGTCAAAGTGTGCCGACCCCTGCTCTATTTGATAACATTAGTTTATTTTATAGATTTCTCAATAAATATATCATAATTTAAGAATTAATTTCTTTATGGTAAACCATAGAGAAGTTTTTTTTTTTTTTTTTTAATGAGATGAGGCACAACCGTTCCGAAGTCAAAGTGTGCCGACCACTGCTCTATTTGATAACATTAGTTTATTCTCTACCAGCGCCACACCAGCGTTGAATCTCTACTGATAATGGCCATACGAGTTTAAAGCTGGCAAGAGGAGATAACACACGTTGAGAGTTCTTTTTATTTTACCTTCAAAATATTTTTTTTTTACAATGTCTCATTTGTTTCTGGACATATTGAAATCCTTACGGAGTTTAAGGACAAGCCTTTAGAGGTATACCTTTTTTTTTTACAGACTGTCCGTTATTTATGGAGCGTTGGCCAACCTGCAGTCGAGGGTTTGTTCAGTCTTCAGTTTATCTTAACATAAAAGAAAAAAACCCAAGGGATTTCCATTATGCGTAAACGGAAACGTGACGCAGTTGTGATCGCCTGTGTACATCGATGGTTGTGCAAAATATCCAAACGTGCACCGGTTTTATGTGGCCCACCCTGTATATTTAAGAGTTGGGAGAGGCCAGTTCAGGCATAGAAAATGTTTGTGGACCAAGAACGTCAAGGGATCTGTATTCGGTTCATTCATAAAAAAAAAAAATAACCCCCATAATTGAATATTCCACGTAAAATTTCCGCTATATTTTAAAAAGACAAACATAAAAAAGCTTAGCTAACAGATTTTGTACAAATACAAACCCAGTCAAAGTTCGATTGCTTTTGTTGGAGGAGGGCGTTTATGGGAGAGGGTGGGGGGCTTTTATGGGGGAGGGTGGGGGGCTTTTATGTGGGAGGATGGGGGGCTTTTTGTCGATCACATGTTTAAAAAAAATCAATTAAAAAAATTAAACTTTTAGCTAATATAAATATAAAATACACATTAGATCTTAGGCGGGGCTAAAAAACAACCCACAAACCAAGTGACGTAGACACAGATCAATGTTCTTCACGTGTCAACATTTCTCTGTCACGGAGCTGAAGGCTTCGAAATGAAGTCGCCGATTCGTCACCTTCATCTATTTTGGGCAGTTATTCTGTATGAGATGTATTTACAGTTAAACGTTTGTTTAAGTAAAAAAAATACGCTTGTTAAGACTCATATTTTTTTTTTATAACTTGACATCTAGGTAAATGTATGCTGTCGTTGCTACTACTAAATGTGAAAAATATCTTCCTAAGCATACGAGATATAATTACCCGCACCAGCCGATGTAAAAAAACACAAATTAATGAAGGTTCTCATCAATAAAAACATTATTTTTAACTTTTTGATTCAATCATTTCAAACCCTGTCTTATTTCCAGGAAGAGCTTCAACATCCATCCCCTGGAAGGTCATTTAAGTCTGTAACTAGAACCGCTTACCTTCCAGCAACAGACGATGGCTATAGAGCATTGCGTCTTTTGAGAGTTGCCTTTCACAGACGTTTGATTTTCACAATAGATGTCTCACATACAACACGAATGGAAGGGATTGTTTGGAACATTCACCACAAAACAAACCGTCATTCATCTGAGTAAGTAACAGAACAATAAAAGACATCAGAATTGCTAAGGTTGAACTATACTGAACTATTAAGGGCACTAATTTCAATATTAAAGGAACAATACAGTGTATATTGAAACGTTTCTTATACTTATATTAATAAAATATACTCATTTTTGAGCAGTACCCAGAGCTGTTTTCTAAATTATTTAACGTCTATTTTTTAGGAATGGCTACCCGGATCCAACCTATCTATCGCGCTTGATGGACGAGTTAAGGCAACATGGAGTGACAGAGGAGTCTCTGGCAGAGGAGGAGAAAAGATTAGTTGAAAAATTGATGGAAAGTCTGAGCAAAAAAAAAGAAGCAGTTTGCAGAGTTTTTTAATCATTTGACTAAAACAATTTCTTAAGATTCTGAAAGACTTAAAACCAGAATGTTTTTAACCCTAAATTGCACGTGTGATGTCATAAGATTTTCAAATATTTTACCATTACTGTTTATGTATAGAATATCAATCAAGAAATGTATCAGTTGTGTTGTTTTATGTATGACCTGTAATGGGGAAGTGTGCCAGCCAGTAATGTTGTTGCATGTATCAGAAGTAACCAAATTTTAATTGTGCAATATTTTATTTAATAGACCCTATGTTATTCACTCTTCCTAAGGCCCATATTATTCAGTCTTCAATCTATATACCTCTTGTTTATTGCATTAAATATTAAATTTGAAATTATGTAACTTCTTGTGTACAAATTTAAGACATTTGGACGTAAACCAGAAAGCCTGAGATGGCTAGAATCTATTGCAGAAGAAAATGTAGATGTCTAGATTTCCACTATTATTTAAAACATCAGACCTACGTATTTTCCCCCACATGTAACAAAGTAATCGATATAATTTGAAGTCAAGGCCATTTTATTTGGCTTTTAAGCTTAGCAACATTTGAAGTTGTCATTCAGATGTTATTTAAACAAAAATGCTTCCAACATTCTATTTGTACACACTCATATTACTGGATAAAACCTGAAGAGCGACTTAGGCAGTCAAAGGTGTGTCTCCCCGTAGGGCAAGGGTCACGAACCGGCGGCTTTTTGCTCATTCTGATGTCGCTCTTGGATACTGCTAGTTGCTATATCAAAATTTAATACTTGGCTCTTTGATCCTTCTCATGTCGCTCTCGGATACTGCTAGTTATTAGATTAAAATTTAATACTTGGCTCTTTGATCCTTCTCATGTCGCTCTCGGATACTGCTAGTTATTAGATTAAAATTAAATATTTGGCTCTTTGATCCTTCTCATGTCTCTCTTGGATACTGCTAGTTATTAGATTAAAATTTAATATTTGGCTCTTTGATCCTTCTCATGTCGCTCTTCAATACTGCTAGTTATTAGATCAAAATTGAATATTTGCCTCTTTGATCCTTCTCATGTCGCTCTCGGATACTGCTAGTTATTAGATTAAAATTTAATACTTGGCTCTTTGATCCTTCTCATGTCGCTCTCGGATACTGCTAGTTATTAGATCAAAATTTAATATTTCGTTCTTTGCCTAGGAAAGGTTCCCGACTCCCTGCATGGGGTGTATGTTTTGGGGTGCGAAAGGGCACGTTCCAATGTTAACATTAGAAAAATTTTTAAGATATTTTTAAACTAAATTTTGTAATTCTTTGCTTATCGCCTTTTAATAAATTAATATTAAACATTTAATTGATAAGTTTTAGAAAAAATTAGTTTATTTAACCTTTATGTTTAAATCTATGGATGCTATTGAAACTTATCCAAAAGCTGGCATTTTTGAAGGGAAAACAAATGAAGATTTTTTAAAATGTTTTTTTTTTATTTTTATTTAGAGAATGTGATAATTATATAGTAAAAAGACATGTGGTCTAACCTAATTTTTTATTTAATGTTGTGCATTAAAAAATTAATTTTAAAAAAAAAATGGTTTGGCTTGGAAACCTTAATGCACAATTTCCTTTACAAAAAGCGCAGGTTACAGACCCTAAGTCGTGGTAAGCCAGGGTTGAAACAGAAATAAAAAGAAAATCCGGATATAGAGGGCAAAAAAAAGAAAAGAAAAGTGGATGTCATGGACAGTGTTTCTTTCAGACACTTTCCCCGCGGAAAGGGGAGGGGGGCGGCACTTTAGTCTCTTTGATCGACGTCAAGAAAGGAAGAAGCAACAATTGAGGAATCTGAAGAGCCTTGAGCAAAAACGAGGGCAGGGGTTTCCTTAATTTAAAAATAATACATTCAAAATTCATTATGGTGAAAATTCAATGTATCTTTCAGACAATGTGTGAAGGGGCATTTCAGACTTTCCTTTACTTACTATTAAATGTCTCGTGGAGAAATGTTAAGAATACAACATCAACATACGCCAACTATGTGTGGACTACAAATCAACTTATAGCATATACAAGAAATACATGTATGATACTCTACTGGAGTATTGCCTTTCAGAACAACAGCGAGGGGATATACATCCACACTAGAGCTGACGGCAAATTATTCAACATTGCCCACCTTAGAGATAACACTAAAACAAGAAAGGTCTTGCTGTGGGAGTTCTTGTTTGCGGACAATGCCGCTTTGGTATCTCACACAGCTGACGGCCTGCAGGGCCTCGTATCCAGCCTATCCGCTGCCTGCAAAGAGTTTGGCCTGACAATTAGCCTAAAGAAAACTAACATTATGGCACAGGGCGCTGACTCCCTCCCCACTATCGCCATCGACGACCACGACTTGGATACTGTTGACAGATTAACATATCTGGGATCCAACATATCGAGCACCCTCTCAATGGAGGATGAGATAAGTGGGAAGATAGGGAAGGCCGCAACTGTTATGGCCAGACTGAAGAAAAGAGTCTGGTCAAACGCCAAACTCACAACAAGAACTAAGCTGCAGGTGTACCAGGCCTGCGTACTGAGCACACTTCTGTAAGGATGCGAGTCGTGGACCACATACTCTAAACACGAAAGAAGGCTCAATGGCTTCCACCTCAGATGCCTGCGCCACATCCTTGACATTAAATGGCAAGACAAAGTCCCCAAAACGGATGTCCTGTCCCAAACAAACATATGTAGCGTCCCAGCCATGTTAATCCAAAGACGCCTCCACTGGCTTGGACACCTCAAGCGAATGCAATCTGGTCGCATACCAAAGGACGTGCTATACAGCGAGCTGGCGACAGGGAAATGGTCAGTTGGACGGCCTCTTCTGAGATACTTAGACATATGCAAAAGAGACATGAAGTCGGTCAACCTCGACATCTCAAACTGGGAGGAGCTGGCAGAGGATCGATCCTCATGGCGGGGCATCGTGAAGGCAGGATCACTGCATGCCGAGAATCAAAACAGGGCGGAAACAGTTGCAAAACGAGCGAGGAGGAAGGCCGGTAAATACTGCTCCACTACATTCGTGTGTGGGAAATGTAACAGAGACTGCCATTCGAGGATTGGTCTCACCAGCCACACCAAGAGCTGCAAGCAATAAAGATAATCTATCGTCTCCCGCAGGCGGAAAGATGGCATAGATATATATATATATATACATACTCTCCTGGAACTTGGAGTGCCTAACAAACTTACCCGACTCATACATATGACGATGGATAGCTTCAAAAGTAGAATCAAAGTACAGAGAGAGAGTACTCGAGAGAGTTCTCAATTAATCAGGGCCTCAGACAAGGAAATCCATGTATCCTTTTCAACATCACGTTAGAGAAAGGTATTAGAAACATACGTCTGAGCAACAGAGAGGTAGTACAGAACAATCATAAGGAACTTTATAAAGCCAGCCAGTGCAATATCTGGTATACATAGACGGTATAGCGCTACTTGGTAGAAAAAACAATGATATAATTAATTGAAGATGTCAGGGGCAAAATTGGTCTTGATGTAAATAAAGCGAAGGCAATATATATGATAATGTCAGGAAATACGCACACTGATGACAACATCATTATGAACAACCACACCTTTTAGAGAGTAGCGACTTTCAGATAACTAGGGATGACTATAAGTATGCAAAAGGAAAAAAATCGGAGGTGAAAGAAAGGATAACAGCATGCAACCGTTCTTATTTCCACTTCAAAAGCTACTACGAAGCAAAACCCCTCTAAGGGAACAAAGAAGGCAATATACACCACTATCATAAGACCAGTAGTAACCTAAGCAAGTGAGACTTGGTTCCTACCAGAAAAGCAGAGAACCTGCTCAATATATGGCCAGATGATAGACAATTTTGTTTTGGGAATCCGTACAAACCAAAGCTATATCAGTTGTACAAATACCCATCCATTGTCCCAACAATAAAAAAGGAAGACTGCCTTGGACAGGACACATTGAAAGGATGCCGGATTCTGGAGCAGCAAAAACGATCTACATGCAGAAACCAAGGGGCACACGCCTCACCGGTCGACCAAGACTGAGATGGATTGACGATGTAGAGAAGGACTTACTTAGGTTGGAGGTTCTTGCATGGAGGTAGAAAGTGATGGATCGATCCAAATGGAAGAATGTGGTGAAGAAGGCCAGGGCCCTACATGGGATTAAGCGCCACTGATGAAGACATTTCAGACTTTTGGGTGGGAAGCGCTGGAAATAGACACAATAACAGGACATCGCTAATTCTTCCACTACCCCAATATGAACTAAATTCATTCCAGTTGGGAGCCCTAAGGCAGCTTAGTCCCCCCCCCCCCTTTAAAACTTTATAGGCCCCGGAGAATTTTTGATACTCCAAAATGAAAGAATGCATTTTTGTACATAGTTAAATATAGATTTGCATCATTATACACTTAACTGGAGAGCAACGGGAAATATACTGTTTAAGATTTTAGGTGTCAATTGACCTCGGAGCCTTCGTGTGAGGTCTGCAACCTGTATAGATGCATGGGGCCTCGTATATTTTAGGGGCTTAAAGTTGTGTACTTTAAATTATCAACTTTTACTGCTAGGTAGGGAAGGACAAAACCGAAACGTAACAGGGGTGCCACAAAAGGTCACGTGACGTCTCTGCTTTACTAAGTGTGTTATACAAATTATATATATATATATATATATATATATATATATATATATATATATATATATATTTTATTTTATTGAAGAGTTATATGTTTTTAAAAAAAAAACAAAAAGACTATTTCCAAAAAAATAGGTAAAATAAAAAAAAAAAAAGTGTCTTTCTTAAAATTAGTCACCATCTGAAAAAAAAAAAAAAATACTCCCAGGATCAAATGGTTATTCATTTTAACTAGAAACGTAAATGTCATAATGGGAAACAGAATGGGAAACTCCCGGATTAATTTGTTTCCTTTCATTTTCAGTTTCAGTTTTAAGGACAAAAATCCGATTTTTAGTCTGTTTCATCATTAAAACAGTACGAATTTAATATTGATGATAATAACAACATGTTTAACAGGATCGTGTTTAAAGAGAAAAATTAACTATGTCTGGAACATTAACTGTAAGAATTATAATCTAACAATACTTTAGACTGTGACATTAGTGGTAAAATATTTAATTATTTATAATCATCGATATTACTGCAACGTCTGTCATATTATTTAACTATACATTCCTCAATATTGTAAGGAACCTTGCTTACTCTCTGACAAACTTCATCTAGATCTGGTGCTCAATAAGGAAACAACTCCAGTGATACATTTGCTGATTAAACTCGTGTTCTTTATTTGGTCTGTCACTTGCTTACACTTTCACTCATCTCCCAACTCTGACTTCTCCCTGCTATCTAGTTCACAGTCCGGCCGCCTTCTCTGCTAACCATCCGGTCGCGCTCAACGTAAAAGGGGTGCCACAAAAGGTCACGTGACGTCTCTGTTTTACTAAGTGTGTTATACAAATTATATATATATATATATATATATATATATATATATATATATATATATATATATATTATTTTATTGAAGAGTAATATGTTTTTTAAGTTTTTATTTAAAATATTTTGGGGTAAAATACATACAAATAATGGATTTACTACAAAATATTTTTAAAATTTTAAAAAGAATTCCTTCCAAATAAGGTATCCATCACAAAAAATAAATTCTAAAATAGTTTTACATTTTGAACGAAAAAGAAAAACCTAAAACATTCGTTTATTTCTAAATATTTCCAAGTTTTACCAAAGTCAACAAAGAAAAAAAAAGTTTTTCTGTAGAAAGGGCCATCTACATTTTTATGGGTTTTCAAAATTGGTATTTATTTATAAATCGTATGTAACTGACAAAATTGTTAAGAAT